GAAAAATATACTTATTAGCTCTAGGATCAAATTTACTATGGTGTTGAGGATATACATGAACAAATGTCGTGCGATCAAATAACTTGAAGGGTAAATCATATGAAGCTGCATGGGTGTGAGCAAAGTTTTATAGAAGAAACTGATGTGGAGATTGAAAATGGACTCTGGATGACATATGATTGATGAAATAGGTAGCCGTGAGAATTGCTTCTCCCCAAAAATAATTTGTAACATTAGAGGAAAACATAAGGACCCCGACAACCTCCAAGAGATGTCTATTCTTGCATTCAATCACTTCATTTTGTTGAGGGGTATCAACAAAAGAACTTATGTGAATAGTATGATGATTTTGAAGGTAGGTATTGAAATTACTAGTGAAGTATTCCCTATCATTGTCTGACTTGAGTACCTAAATTTTAGAGTTGCATTGATTTTGAATCATAAGATTGAATGTTTGAAAAATTTGTCAAGGAAAACCCAAGTTACCCATGTATGATCATCAACAAATGTCACAAACCATAGAGTGTCAAAAATATGTTTTATCTTTGGGTGACCCCACACATCACTATGAAATTTGAGGTTATACTGTCCAAGTATGCTTTGTAATATGACAAGTTTTACAATGAGTCGATGCTGTACTTTTATTGATAAATAATTTGGTAAACAATTTTGCAGAATACACAAAGCTACGATAACTAAGACAATAGTGTAACAATATAATTTCACTATGTTTATTGATATTAGAATTGGACACATAATTGAAAGATTCTAACAAAATTTGAGATTGGATGCAACTTGCTTGAGAAACTTGGTTTGAGGATCTGTCACATGGGAGGAGATAAAGCTTGAAGCACATTTTAACACTAACAATCATAATGTGAAACAACATACAGTGAATTAAGAATTGCACTTGAGAAATTAATATAAGTAATGACTTTTACCTTGCTACCAAAACTCTTTGTTTGCTCAAGTTGAGTTTAAGAATAAGACATTGATAGATTAAGCAATGACAATAAATTACATGTAGAGATTTGAGGAGCTTTTCAAAATAACACCAAAAATTTAAGTAATGCAAATAGCTAAGAATATCAAATCCCCAAATTTAATATCTAGATCATTCACCTTGAGGTCCTTCACTCGTTTTGAAAGTGGTGGCTAGCGGAGGAGAATCATAAGTAGACTTAGCGATGCCACTAGTAGACAAGTGACCCCGAGAGGACTCGTCGCCGGGGAAGAAGCCAAATTTGGAGGAGCGGGTGGGCGGCCGTCAATGATCCACTCGGAGTCTGGACGTTGTTTGTCGATGACGTGTATGAGGGTTGGTAGGATCCGATCCAAGTAGGCTCTGTAAAGACCATTTTTGCTCCCAGGTTCGTCCGGACGAAGTTCGATCGTCCTGGATGATCGGTACAGGTTGTGCAGGAAAACAGTTCTGGCTGTATGGTTTGTCTGGACGAAAATAGGATCGTTTGGACGAAATTCTTACCGAGAGCAAATCGTACGGGACGATAATTAATTTCGTCTGGACGAAATTTGTCCAGAGCCCAAGTCGTCCGTGACGATAATTAATTTCGTCTGGACGAAATTCGTCCAGAGCATAGATCGTCCGGGACGAAGTTGTGATCGTCCGGTACGATCAGTCTTGATATATAAGGAAATGAGATATTTTTGGAAAAGAAAGGACGTCCAGGAGAGAGAAAAGCGAAGGAAAAGAAGGAAAAGAGGATTTTTGAGCGACTCCGGTCTGTTTTAGTCCGTTGTGGTAGTTAGAGAAGTTGACCGACTCGAGGTAAGACACATTCCGCCTTTCTCAATTTTCAGAAACGAGATTTTTGACGCATTTTCTGTTCCGGATTTTGTTTCCGTTAGCGAATTTCTGGTATTATTTTCTCCTGACAAAGGTTTTACCGCGTAACTTTTGGTATGTCTCTGAGATGATAATTATGCACGTTTTGAGTATTTTCTGGAAGATTTGTATCGGACATTTTGAATTCTGCGGTGTTTTGATTGAACTGCAAATTATCAGGATGTTGAAAAATATTTTGTCAGTACAATGAAAGTCTTATAATGTTGTTGTGAATGTTCTGTGGTAATTTGGTAAATTTCTGGATCTGTGAATTTTGTGTAAATTCCGTATACTGCCGTTATGCCGCTGAATTTTCGTACGATTTCTGAAATTCTTGAATATGAGATGATTTGAATGAATTGATCATTTGTATGCTATAGAAGGGAGTTATAAGGGGCCGGAATCCTTGTGTGATTCCGTTGTCTGGGTCGGGAAGGGAGACATAAGGGGAAGTTCTGAAATCTGAATTCTGTATATCTGTTCTGTTCTGGTGCTATAAGCACAAAAGGGATCTATAAGGGGAAGTTCTAGTGCTATATGCACAAAAGGGAGTCATAAGGGGAAGAGGGGAAGTTTCCGACATCTGGAAGGAAGTTCTGTTCTGAAATTATCTGTTCTGTAAAGCTGTAATGTGATTTTATCTGATTTCTGTATGACTCTGATTATTCCGTATGATTCTGTCTGCTCTGTGACATGAAAGCTTTATGATATCCGATTTGATATGATTTCAGTTTCCGTATTCGATGTCTGATTTCTGATTGAACTATTATCTGTTCTGTTTGTTATACGATTTCTGTACGATTGTCCGAATTCTGTACGGATACTTTTCTGATGTGATTTCTGATGTGAGTTTCTGATGATTTTGATTGGTGATTGATGTCTTGCTGAGCTGTTAGCTCATCCTTGTTTTCTGCGTGGTTTTTAGGTTCTGGGAAAGGGAAGGAGGTCTTGGATAAGCGTTTGAGTCTGATCTGTGATTAGGTACTTGATACTTTTGATTTTTGTACAGTCATGGCTTTTCTGTTCTGTTCTGTTCTTTCTGTCTGAAGCAATGCACTGTATCTGTATATGATTATTTTGATGAAAGAAAAGATAGATGAACTGCGCTGTGTTTGGATGTTTATAGTAGCTCTGTGTTTTTCTGTCTGTGTTATATTTGGAAGAAAGTTCTGAAGCAAATTCCAAAGCCAGATCCTGGATTTGTTAGCTGTGTCGCGGCCAGATGCGAGCGGGATCCGTCCCGGTCGGGTTGGGTCGTGACAGGCTCCAACGGTATCGTCGTCGGGATCAAATCCCGCGTCGAAGAACGGCGATTGTTGGATGTCGAGGTTGTCGTGAGCGTCGAACACAAGTCCCCACTCAAACTCGGGGTCCGCCATGCATGGTGGTAGTGAGTGAAGATGCCAAGAAGGGGAGGCAAGCGAGCGGACCGTGAGCAAGGGCCACGGGTTGGAGAGGAGATAGTGGGCGGGTGGAGCTATGGGGGAGAGAAACAAATCGAATTTTATTTCAGATTCTAAATATGAGCTGCTATTTTAATTTCAATTTCAGTTTTGAAATTTGAAATTAGAGAAAGAGAGGGAGGGGAATTAAAGAGGCATTTAAGTAGTGATTAAGAGGGGATTGGAGAGAGAAAAGAGGAAGAGGAGGTGGCCAGCCCCATGAAGAGCTGAGGGATTAATTAAATTTAATGATGTGGGCCCTCAGAGAAACTCATGGAATTTCAAATCTGAATTTGGAATTCTCAGATTTGCTCTAAAGGAAAATTTCCTTAATAGCCTAAGCCTCTAGCAGTTGGAAACTTCCCGTCAAATGAAAAGAAACCATAGTAGGCTAAATTTCCTAATTGAAGGGAATGTAGAATAGGAAAGAAATAACGGCTTTGGCATGGGATTTCAAAGTTTGAAATGGTTTGCTGGTGGGCTGAAGTGGGGCGGCTATGGGAGTGGTTGGGAGGGATGGCCGGCGGCTGGGGTGTGGGGGAGGGCCGTAGGTGGCTGGGCCGGCCAAGGGAGGCCGACGGTGGAGCTTGGGTGGTGGTGGGGAAAAAAAGAAAAGAGAAAGGAAATTCGGCTTAGTGGGGGAAGAAAGGATTGAAAGAAAAATAAATAAAGAAAATTCCAATGACTAATCTTGAACACCACTCCACCGGTAGAACTCACAAAGAGATCTCCGGCGATCTCCTCTTCAAGAACTCACAAAGAGATCTTTAGAGGCTTCATGAACTCACAAAGAGAATCATCAAAATAAAATTTTCATTTTTCCAAAACTATGTCATTACAATGCATGATGCCTCATATAAGGAGGCCCAAAAATAAAGAAACTGAAAAGACAGAAAAGCCCTCAGGGGCAAACTAGGAAAACTAAAGAAAGTACACATGACATAAGCTGTAAATAAATAAGAAATAGAGACTCTGGATCGTAGCCGTCGATCTGCGCCGCCGGCGATGATACACGTGTCGAAATCTGATGTCCCCATCAAATCATCTTCCCTGATTTCAAGTCCTGAAAAACATATAAGTTTGGATAAAATCTAGTAACACGTTAGAGGTCATGAGCCAATTTGTAGATAAAAGATTACAATCCAAGTTTAGAACATGTAGGATAGAGTTTAGATACAACTCTTTAATAAGTTGGATGGAACCTGTTCCAACAATTTTAGAATTTAAACCATTAGCAACACGCACAGACGAGCGACCACTTCTTGGCTTGTAATTTTGAAGAAGGTCAACATCTCCTGTCATGTGATCAGAAGCAATAGTGTCGACTATGAACGACTTAATTTCTCCTATGTTAGTAATGAAGGCGATATCTGAATCTGTTTGAGCAACCAAACCTATCCCAGTAATGCTACTATTGGAGAAATTTTGTCATCATCAACTAATTGAAATATTTTTTTATCGAGCTGCACGATAGAAAAAATAATATATTATTTGGAAGGATAAAAATATTATTTCGCTATAAATTCAATAACAAAACTCACACTTTTATTTTTTTAACAAAAATTTTCTCCGATTCAATATTTAGTTGAGTAGGATTTATTTTATTCTAGGATATGAATGCTCCATAGGGAATATGTTTGACAGCATTCTTGCTCATCAATATTTTTCCTGAATGTCTCCATTTTCTTAACTACTTTTATGCTTGCTAAAAGGTACACAAGAAAATGTTGACAATCAACTTGAGTTGAATACCCTGATGGCTGAGGAAATCGGTCTTGCAGTAGCTGCAGCTTCCAGGTTGCTAACAAAACTTTTGAATTTTGAACAATTCCATCAATCTGTGAAAACTTCACATTTTCAATCTGTACTACGCGATGTCCTGAGATCCAACATTCCTCTTCATACTAAAGACTGGGTTGCTTCATGCCTTGTAAAGCTTGAATCCAAGTCTTCTTCAGGCTGGGACATGTCCGACGACCCTCCCATAGGCTTGGAGGTGATTGTTTATGATACCATACCAAGACTCGTTGAACAAATGACTACGCCATTTTCTCTTGAATCTCGTGAAGCTGCCGCCATTGAACTTAACCAAGTCATCTCTGAAGGAGGCGTGGAGTGCAGCAAAGCCGTTACTTCTGCAGGAGGAATATTTTCCCTTGTGAAGCTTATTGAAGAGGCGAGTGGCGATGGACTGGAAGCTTGTCTATCTATCTTATATAATCTTAGCATGGATGACGAGAATCATCCTGCTATGGTTTCTGCTGGAATTGTACCTGCACTGAAGAGGATTGTTCTTTCTGAAGGAGCTCAGTGGCCCCGTGCTTTACGTTTGCTGAGAACATTGCCTACATGATATGATTACGGTGAGATTGATATGTTTTCCTCTGCAGAATATCGTATAAAATAATTATGTTATTTGTATCTCATTTAGTCTTCCTTTGAGATGATTTTCTTATTGCTTCTTAAATCAGTTTTTTAGTAAAAAATTTTAAATTTTTGGGTGCGGAGACCAGACGTAGAGATACGTCCGGACATTCACTTAAAATTTGACACTGGAGTGCACTTTAGTTGCACTTTTTGTGCGCTTTACCTGTGCTTTAGTTGCGCTTTGACTGTTTTTTTGTTGCGCTTTTTTATTGCGCTTTAGTTGCATTTTAGTTGCGCGGACACATTAAATATATAAAGTAAAAAATAAATTCAACTTGTCCACTCCACATGTCAACATTTTGTTGAGTCCGGATGTACCTCTACATTCGGTCTCCGCACCTAATAATTTTCTATTTGGGACGGCTTTCTTATTTCTTTTTAAAATATGTTTTTAATTTTTTACTAGAAAATTACTTTAAGAAGTAATAAAAAAGCTGTCATAAACGAACCTTTAGACTGTTTAACTAACCGTAATATGTTTATTCTTCTTCGAACAGAAACTTCAGCTTTCTCGAGCAGAGAAGTTGCAGATGGCTCTTGTGAGAACTTTGTTGTCCATTGGTCACACTACCAGGAGTCTTCTTGCAAACATACAATGACTGCATTTTGCTGAAGCTTGAAGAAGATGGACTGTCCATTTATAAAGTTCAATAGAATGCAAGTGTAAGGGACTATTTCTAAGTGTGCTTTGAAGGTCGTGTTAGAAGCATAGCTGAATGGTACATTTATTTGATTTTTGTTCACTTCATATGGACCCATTGAACGAACAAGCTTGACTCGGATTTAGGAGTGTAAGTGAGCCGAGCCAGCTCATGAGCCGGCTCGAACTCGACTCGTTAATGAGCTCGCGAGCCTAGCTTATCGAGCTTCGAGCTCGAGCTCGAGCCTACAATCGAGCTCGTATTATAAACGAGCTCGAGTTCGAGCTCAACCCGACTTTACTCCACAGCTATATATATATAATTTTTTTAAAATAAAATCATAATAATCAAAGCAATATTTTAACAACCAAATCAAATTAGTCAAATATGATCACTTTGATAGATTTTGCAATTTTAAATAAAAAAATGCTAATCTCTAATCGAAATAAGTCTAAAAAATATTAGATTTATTTTTAAATAAATTTAATATGTTTAAAATCAATTAAAATTCATCATAATTATTTTAAAATAAATTCATTAATTTTATATTCATAAAATTCAAACCATATTAAGTTATTTTTTCATAATTTCTCAATTTAATATTTTGTATATATTTAGCATAATTGTACTTTTTAAAAAATAATTATAAAATTAGAAGAAATTTAATTTTATAAAATTGTTCATCTTTTTAGAAAAAAAATTTATTAAATATAATTGTTATGTCCTGGAATATTCATGATGGTAGAAAAATATAAAGTTTGATGCCTAAGTTTTTTACGAAATCCAGCACACAATAAGATAAAAGAGACGGTATAACATTCATTAGAGAAATCAGTCTTTTTTACGTGTAAAACCCCTTAAAAGGCAAAAAATCATGGGCCCTGACCCAAGTTTGAATGAATCCAGTAGTGTTTGCAATCAATTACAAATGAGGTCCTTCATTGGGGGGAAGACCTTGATTTGATGTAGCAAATATGCATCATACATAGTGCATTACACAGTGGAAATTAGAAGAATTAGAATTGATATGTTTGTTTGGTCGACATGACCATAGTCAGTTGGCAACGGAGGTCAAAAAGATCGATGTTAGACGAATCAGGTCAGGAGAACCATAATCTGCACTCGATAGGCGAGAAAGCTCGGAAAGATCGTAGCCAGGTGACGGTGGTTGAAAGGATCATAATCGGAGGCGATTAAGGATGAAAGGATTGTTATCTGCCAAAGAAGGTCAAAAGGATAATAATTGATGGGTGACTGAGGTTAGGAAGATCATAATCTTGCGATAAAGGTCGGAAGGATCATTATTTGGCGGCGAAGGTTGGAAGGATTATAGTCGGCGGGTAACAGTGGTCAGAAAGACCTTTGTCTGGTGGTGGAGGTTGGAAAGATCATAGTTGACAGATGATAGAGGTCGAAAAGATCATAGTCAACGGGTAACAGTGGTCAGAAAGATCGTTGTTTGGCGACAAAGGTCAGAAGGAATATAGTCGGCGGGCGATGGAGTTCACAAAGATCGTTGTCTAGCGACGGAGGTTGAAAGGATAATAATCAGTGGGCGATGGAGGTTAGAAGGACTGTAGTAGGCAGGCATCAATGATTAAAAAGACTGTTGTTTGTCGATGGAGGTCGGAAAGATCATAGTTTTGCGACGAAGGTCGGAAGGACCATAGTTGGCTAGCGATGGAGGTCAAAAAGATCGTTGTCAAGCGATAGTTGTCGAAGGGAAGTTCGACGATAAGCAGTGGACAAGAGTAAGTCTGGTGACAGTCCGATGATAGTTGGTGGCCAGGCAGAAGTTCGTCCTTGCTTGAGCAGAAGTCCGGCGGTAGTCGATGAGGAGTCTAGTGGCAAGATAACTCTAGTTTCTCTCTCTTCATTCACTTCTTTGCTTCTCCCCTCCTTCCATGAGGAATGATGAGTTTATTTAAAATTTTCTGAGAGTGACATGACTAGTAAATAGAAGAGAGATTAATGGTAAGTTTAGGAGTGGTATGAATGGACGACTGATGCTGATCCCCTTGATTGTGAATAATTTACTAGACATTTGAATGTCTTAATGATATCAGAATTCGACGACATTGGGCTCGTTGGATTTGCCCCGTCGAGCCGCTCAATTCGACTATAAGCATTTTATGTTTGGAAGTCGTTTGGTCATTCAATTTATGGTTTGAACTTTTCAAATGCACTTCAGGTCTTTGATTTGGACGCATTTGGGCTCGAATTAAGTTGGATTTTGTGTCGTTTGGTTCATATTTTTGATATGTTCAATTCAACTATAAGTTTTCTGAAATCGGTGTTCGGATTGTCCCAATTTAATTTTGAAATTTTCCAACTTGATTTTGCCTTGAGATTCATTCCTGATCAAGATAATTTTTTGATGATATATCAATAATAAAACATATTAATCAAATAAAAATTATAATTATAATCTGAAAATTAATAGAGTAAAAAAATAATCTTAAATAAGTTACTCGTGCATCGTCACAAGTGGTACCCTGCCGCTAAATACTATGCCACAATAAAATAAAATGAATAACTATAATAATTTTCTAAATAATAATAATAATAAAACGTGGGGCTAAGGTTCCGATAAACGGATTCAAATCAAATCAGTCGCTTGATGCTCGCTTCCTTCTTATTCTCAATTTCTGCAGTCGCTTGATGCTCGCTTCTTCTTATTTGCCCAATTTCTGGCGTACATTCTCCCTGAGAGAACCGAGGTAGAGTCGTCAAAATGGCGATCACAGCCGGAGCTGGAGTCGACCTCGGACTCTCCCGCTCCCCTTTTCTTTCTCGCTTCAAGAAGATGACTCCCAATCGATGCCCCTTTCTTCCCAGAAAAGCGCGGAGAGCGAAACCCGCCTTGGCGGCGATGGGGGCGGCCGACCTACTCGCCGAGCTGACGCGCCATGTTGAGCCGTTCTTTGGCGTGGGCGTGGGCCTTCCCTGCACGGTGATGGAGTGCGGCGATATCATTTACCGCAGCACTCTCCCAAGGCAGAGTGGGCTCACCATCACGGCTCCCGGTGTTGCCCTAGCTCTAGCTGCCGTCTCCTATCTCTGGGCTACCCCAGGTGTTGCCCCGGGATTTTTTGACATGTTCGTTCTCGCTTTTGTTGAGCGCTTGTTTCGCCCCTTCTATCGCAAGGATGACTTCGTATTAGGGAAGAAGCTTGGCGAGGGAGCCTTCGGTGTTGTATTCAGGGCCTCCTTTGCGAAGTCCAAGCCTTCCGCCCCTAAGGTCCAAAGCTTCTTTCGATATTGCCTGTCCGGATGGCTTCGTATTGTAACCTATCGATTTCTGTTCCTGATTAGTTATTGAAGCAGGGCGATCTGGTTGTGAAGAAGGCCACGGAGTATGGTGCCGTGGAGATCTGGATGAACGAGCGGGCGCGGAGGGCTTGCTCCAATAGCTGTGCCGACTTTGTGTATGGCTTCCGAGAGGTGTTACACTTTTGTTTAGGGTTCACCTATTTTTAAGTTGATTACAAAGATGTTTGAAGGGTCAGTTTGATTCGTTTTTTTGCAGAGCTCCCCGAAGGGGAAGGGTAAAGGTGAGTACTGGCTCATATGGCGGTTTGAGGGTGTGGATACACTGTCTGATCTCTTGACAAGTAAAGAATTCCCCTACAATGTAAGCATTTCTTTTTTTATTTCTTTTCATTACTCTTCTATTCTTTATGCCTATATTACATTGCCAGAAACGAACTCTATAAAACCAATCAGCATGTGACTTAAGGAAAACTAGAGGATTGATTTGTCATAATAGTCAAACTTTAGATTCACTGAAGTATACGCATACTCCTTGTTGAGTCATAATAGTTTTTGAATAAACAAAGATCTAGTCGTAATATTAGGGCAAGTTTTTCATTTTATGATGCTGCATGTAGTCATGCGAAGTTATTGCTGAGTACGTGTGTGCTACCTTAGCTTATTTTTCTTGAGAGTGGAGTAATTTGAAGGCTAAGAGTGAGTTGTCAACCTAAAGTACCTATAGTTGGTCATGTTTATGTTGTAGAATGAGTGCAAAACTAGAAGCAAATATAATAAATTTAAACAACTTAAGCAATTTTTTGAGTAATTAAATTAACAACTATATATATTTGCATAATTGAGTTTAGAGATCTTAACACCAAGCCTTATGCAAGCACCATCTTTTAGGATTGTTTCGTCCCTTGAAGAAAATATCTCATTGTAAAATTAAGTGGTGGCAGCCCTCCTGGATGAAATGGCTCTTTCCACATTTCGTGCACTTGCCAATGAGAATTATAGGAAAAACTCCCTCTTTTAATGTACAAAGTAATTATGTCTGACTAAAATTTGTCTTTGACTTGACTTGAATTCATAAAACAAATAGTTCAACCTTGATGGCTTAGATTTAGCTTCCTCCTTTCTCACTTGCTCTAAAACAAAGAGTTTGAAGGAGTCCTTGATGTCCAATATAAATAGAGTTGATTTTGTTAGGCACCAAAAAGGAGCTACCACTAGTGGTTTCAACAAGCCTAGTCAAACTTGCGTCACATGTAAATGGAGCGTAACTCTATTAACTTGTAGTTGGCTCAAACTCGAGTTCAAGTTCAACTTGAGCGGATACGCTGAGCTCAAACTTAACTCGAGGGATGAAACCTAGATGTGAGCTTGATTGAGAAGCTTGATTTGAACTTGATTTTTTAGCTTGATTTCATATAGTACAACAACAACAACAACATCAAGCCTTTATTCCCACTACGTGGGGTCGGCTACATGAATCCTTTTCCTCCATTATGTCCTATTAAAAGTCAAATTCTCGTTTAAATCTAATAAAGAAAGGTCATTCCTAATATTTTCTAACCAAGTCTTTTTAGGTCTGCCTTTACCTTTCTTAACATAAGTCAAATCTAATACCTCTACTCTCCTAACCGGGTCATTGGAAGGCCGCCGTTTTATGTGATCAAACCATCTAAGGCGACTATCTCTAATCTTATCTTCTACTGGAGCTACTCCAACCTTTTCACGTATATGCTCATTTCGTATCCTATCTCTAAAGGTAAAGCCACTCATCCACCTGAGCATCCTCATCTCTGCCACACTTAACTTAGTATTATGCTTCTCTTTTAATGGCCAACATTCAACACCATAAAGCATTGCAGGCCTCACTACCATCTTATAGAATTTTCCCTTAAGTTTGAGGGGTACTTTTCTATCACACAACAAGCCCGATGCATTCCTCCACTTCAACCATCCAACTTGAATTCTGCTGATAATATCCCCATCTATTTCACCATCACTCTGAACAATAGATCCAAGATATCTAAAACGTGTACTCTTATTAATTACTTGATTGCCCAAAGTGACAATCCCCTCACTAGTTCTATTACTACTAAAATTACACTCCATATATTCCGTTTTAGATGTACTCAAGCGAAAACCTTTAGTCTCTAATGTTGATCTCCATAATTCAAGTTTACTTTCAACTCCCTCTGTAGTCGTATCAACAAGAAGAATATCATCAGCAAAAAGCATACACCAAGGTACATCCTCTTGCAAATGTCTAGTGAGAACATCCATGACTAAAGCAAAAAGATATGGGCTTAAGGCTGATCCTTGTGTAACCCAACCGAAATAGGGAAATACTTGGTCAAACCCCCTTGTGTTTGAACACAAGTAATAGCTTCTGCATACATATCTTTAATGATTTGAATATAAGCATTATTAACTCCTTTCTTTTCAAGAACTCTCCAAAGCACTTCTCTTGGAACTTTATCATATGCTTTTTCTAAATCAATAAATATCATATGTAGATCCTCCTTATTTTCTCTATATTTCTCTATCAAACCTCTTAATAAATATATGGCTTCCATAGTCGACCTACCCGGCATGAATCCAAATTGATTATAACACAATTTCTTAATGGATTCATGCCATTATTATTCGACAAGTTTTACGCTGGCTGTCGACTACCTAACCCAACCCTCCACTTTTCATATAGTGATTCAAAAAAATTATAAATTTTTGGGGATTGAACTTTAAACATCCAATTATTTTTTTTTCCAGAATCTAAAGTAATTAATTTAGGCATTCACAATTAAAGGTATAATTGAGTCAAACTGGCTTGCAAGTTGATTTAAACTTAATTCACTAAAATTTTTATGAGTCAAGTTTATTGAGTCATGAGCTCGAGTTTTAGCTCATAATAATGCTTGCATATTATATGAGCTTAAGTTCAAGTCTAATGCAGCTCGGCTCATCATCTTAGTGTCTGCTCAATTAATTTGTTAATTGGTGAAACCTTTGTTATGTGCACTATTTAGCATCTAAATACAAATTGCATTTTTTTTATTATGAAAACCAAGAGAAATGACAAAATGCTAATCTTTCCATATCTATTTCACCTGGGGATAACTCCTCATTTCTCGATTACCCCTTTAGAAAAAAGAAACCCCAACTCCCTAAGCTCTTTAAAGTTCCTTCAAGTCTATTGCCATCACACTACCTTCACTACTTTATACTTGTCTCTAGCTCTAAATCTTTTGACTTTCAAAATGCTTGGCTATGTTAGCCTGCATTCAAGGATATGCCTTCACTCCTAGCTTCACACCCGTCCCTATGTTAATGGTGACAGCTGATGACTGATTATCTGGTAATGGCAAATAGGAATGGTGCTTCTTTTCTAAGGTATATACATATCCTCTTATATATTATTTTGACCAATATATTTATAAAATCAAAGGTCATTTTTTAAGTTCTCATCTTGATTTAGTGCATATATATTCTTTTTGATGAAGTTAGAAATTAATTGATGTCCCCTTAAGGTGGTGGTGAAAGAGTCATGTTTGTGGTAGTGAAATGAGTATTCAATGCTTGGATAGATTTGGCGCCTGAAATTTCTAGACTATTAAATGATAAATTTTCCTTCAGAAAAATGAGAAACTCCATGGTAAAAGTTTGGGATGTCAGGAACTAATGTTAATGCTTTTATGAATTTTTTGATCAATGCTTAAAGAGTTGTGATATTTTAAATCTAATTGCTCATAGTAAGAAATTATCTCTCTATAAATAGGTTGTCTTAGGTTTGGGAGAATTTTGAAGGGATCGTGGAGTTGAGATCTTAGGAGGTTGTGAGGGACATGGGATAATGTTTGGGAGAATTTTGAAGGGATTTTATGTGTTTTGGGTTGAGGGAAACTAAGATTGAGGTTATGTAAATGATATGAGAATTACATTAAGAAAGAAGAGAAATAAAGGTGAGAAAATATATTTAAAGACTCATCAAAGCTTTAAGGGATCAACCACTAAGGTTCACCTGTGAGTAAAGTTGCTACCAAGCAAAGTGGTCCTGTAATAAAGTTATCATTCTTTCTATCCATTCCATGAGCACTGGGATATTATGTAGCAACTAAAGTTGAATTCTCCTCCTATATGGTGTTTGGAGTAGCATCAGGAGCCTGCATCAAAATCACAAGATGATAGAAATGGTCTAGCCACTAGGGCTCAATCTAGGAAAATTATAGTTGATCATATTAGACCCATCACCAGGAGCTAGTTGAATATGCTAAGATAAAAATTTCCTTTGTTATTCTACTTAATTGTTTTGGAGACATCATGTGTGAAAAATATTTCATATAGCATTATAATTGTATTTTGTGAGATTTGAGTGTTTGTGTTGTGGATTTTATGTGTTAAATGACTAGTAGAATGCTCTTAATTAATTTAATTAAGTGGCTTATGTATGGAATGTAGTGGTCGACCAAGCAAGTAGCTAGGCAAGGGTGGAGTGGCCAAGAAAGTGAGGAGGGAGTTGTTAGAGTGGTTAAATAGTGTGGGCCGCATCCTCCCCTCTTCCCACTTCTTTTCAGATTTTCATTTCACTTGTTGTATTAGAACTTTATTTGTTGTGGAATAAAGTGCTTAGGCATTTTTGTACTAAAGTTGGAGTGAATTCCAAGTGTTGGCCTGACTTGGTGGTCGGCCATAGGAGAGGGGTTTGGTGATCTGTATTACCCAATCAACTTTGATTAGTTTATTGTTTTAAATTTTTTTGTATTTTGCTATAATCTTTTTTCATGATTTTGTATTGTTTTATCCCAACTTTTTTCTAAAAATTTTTCCTCGAAAAATTTTTCAAAAAAATCTCAACTTAGATCCATTTATAATGGTTAGCCAAACCTGGGCTGAAATATAACCTAGTGTTGTTCCACCATAGATTTGGTGACCTTAAACACTTCTAAATTATGGAAAACTCTATAATATATCTTATGATATCCCACGATCATTTCATTGTCATTTACCCAATTTTCATGAGTTTAAACCTTGCCACTAGAAGTCTAAATCCAAGATAGTCAAAGCGGCTAGATTGGCATTTTTCTTGACCTAACCACTTATAAAATGAAAATGAAAAAAAATCTAGACTTCTTAAAAAATTATGAAAACTTTCAGATCACAACTAAATCTCATTCTCTAAATTTTGCAAGTCATTTAAAGGTTTTTTAATTCAGTATTTTGATATATTTAGTCAATTAAAGTCAGGTTAGTGATTTCTGAATTTCAAGACCATATTCTAGGCCTACCATTGTTACATTCCTAACTTGAAATTTACCCCCAAATTAATTTCGCTCATATTTTTCACACCTTATAGAAGACTCTTGTGTTGAGTTA